CCCACCCATACTTACGCAGGAGGAAAGTGGAGGGGAAAAAGAGGGTGGGGGGGGGGGGGGGAGGGTGAATGCATTCATTTTTTACTCACAATGACTTGTTGCTTTTTTGCAGTACACGACTGGTGACATTTCATTTCACGGCCCTTCCAGGCACTTTCTCCGACGGTGAGATTTTTCTCATTCATTCTTTATTGGGCAAAATCCGACATTTTCCAAATGATGAGAACCTGCAATACAGAGTTCAAACAGGTACATTCAGACAAAGCAGCTGCCACTCTGAAAGATGGAGGTAAAAAAAATAACCAAGCATCTGCTTGATAAATAATAACTCCTGCTTCATTTATTGACTTGTTGAAGTTTGAGCTCAAAAAGTGAAGGACGTATAAAATACTAATACTGAAGTTTGCAATTTTGATCTTTAATTCCTGAGTTGCAGGGCGTTATTAGATTGTTTTCAAAATGTGATGGGTGATCAAAATATTGTGGTGAGTTTTATTGAAGGCAGCTGTCAGATGGAAAAAAAAAAGAAGAAGAAGAGTGGTGTCCTCTGTGTCTGCAGCAAATGAAAGATCTTTTAATCTCTTTGGAATTGAAGTTCCGGTGCTATAAAGCGTTTTAAAACCTAATTGAAAGTTTCATGGAATTGAAAAAAAAAAAAAAAAGAGTGCAAATGGATACAAATATTGTTTCTACACGTTTGAACAGTGAATGTCCCAGAGACGTCTCTCCAAGGTCCGACTGTGCAATAGTCAGAAATTGCGGGAAAATGAAAAAAAAAAAGAGCTCTCAGATTGTAAGGGTTCAGCTTTATATAAACAGCATAAACATTTGAAAATGCAGTAGACAAGTTTAAAAAAAAAAAAAAACATTAAACAGCCTCAAGGTAGCGCTTCATTTAAAAATCACACACATGAGTCACAGTGGAAGTTGCTCCTTGAGCTCTAGAAACCACTTAGAAAATGAAAATAAAAAGCAGTTCTCACTAAATACATCAATTACATCTTATTTTTCTTGCTACATTTTGGTTTTCACACAGATTTCTTAATGTGATAGCTAATGCGTTTGAGGGTTGTTGCTGTAATTCTCTACTAGCTAACATTTACAAGTGCTGTTGTCCTTACAAAAAAACTACAATTTGTAGCTTCAGAGCATTTTTTTTTTCCCACAAGTCTGGTCTGCGCATGGAAGAGCGTTTTAAATATTTTCAGAGGCCCAATTATCCTTTGTTTTTGAATGAATAGAGCATTTTGCTGACATGCTACGCTTTTGTTAGCTTCTCTCCTCTGTTACAGCTGCAGCAGATGGACATGAACTGAAGTCTGCATGTGTCAAGTCAGGCATATCTTCAGAAACAAATGATAAAGCTTTCCAGCTGATGTGTTGGAGCTGCATATTAATGGTGTCCTGTAGATACTCTGGTTGGGACAAAATATCAATCACTGTCAAGAAGACCGATAAGGGAGAGAGCAGCGCTGGACCGGGACAAATACAGAACCTTAAATAAATGGAACCAGAATGGGAGATGAAATATCTTCTGAAATGTATGGCTTCGCAGATTCCTATGCAATCAGTGTCGCCCGTCTACTTTGACGCCGCATTTAGTCTTGACTTAATAAAGTTCATTTCCATACGTAATGCCTGAAATTCAAAGATGTGTTTGGAAAAAAAATTGTTATTATTCTGCTGGGAGTTTCATACACAACCAGTTCTTATATTTGAAGACAATGGCCCATAAAGAGCAAAACTATCCCATGACTGGTAGTTTTTTTGTTAAAGTGCAAGATTTTACAATTTAGCTACAGATTGGAAAAAATGTCTGGTTGAATCCGTTTTTATTTTAGATGAGAAATAAGTGAGGTGAGAATTATAGACGTATGTAACATTAAAAGAAATCATGGCAAAAGTCCCAGCTGAGAATCAATCTTATATCACAGTCTACCTACTGCAGCAATGACGCGCCGCGTGAGCACAGACTGAAATCATTAGGAAGTGTTTTAGGCATTTCCGCGGGCAAAAGAGGATTTATTCCAGGAAGGTGTGTGTACCCGATAAAGTGGCCGGCGAGTGTAGATTGCAGACATTATGTTAAAGCAGAAAAAGTTAAAAGATTAGAAGATAAGCCAAATCTTATCAGTTCTGAAACGCTTATTGAATGCTGTTCACAAGAAAAAAATAACAACAAACAAAACAAAAAAAGAAACGAAGATATGGAGGAAAATCTGCTGTTTCCATTTCCGATAATGTTTGCTTCGATTATGATCCATCGAAGGGAAACGACATATGGATTTACCGATAAGGGCTTCTGTTTAGACTTTTTTATTTTTAAACAGGCAGAAAAAAAAACAAACCAAAAAAAAAACATGGAATGAGAAGGCAGGAAATTAAATGGAAAGCTTGCATGCAGCAGGGAGGATCTGTGGAGAGATAAGATACAGAGCAAGCTGTAATCTGAAGCTACCGCTGCGTTTTGCTGTCCTATTAATTTTGATATTACCGCCTGTTTAGCTCTGCAACATGTATGCATGACTAGCTAAGGTAAGAAACAGACGCCTGAGCTGAGCTAACTGGACCCAGAGACGTTCCCTTTTTTTTTTTTTCTTTTTCTTTGTTTTTCTCTGGGATGAAATAAAACACTCGAAGAAAACATTCTGTCTGCATCAGCACATCAAGGCATCTGCTGTGGGGCTCGTCTGACAGCCGTCACAAACTCTGACTGTGAATGGCACCGTGGTGACCGGGGAGTCGTTGCGGCGTGGGCACATGAAGCCTGCTCCTTCATTTTGGCTTGTGCACAGAAACACATGCACGCACACACACGCACGACCTCAAGCCTACGCGCCTTCCAACTTGTCTGAACTTCACAGCTGATTCAAGCCGGGCTTTGTGACGTCTGATTTGATCACTACGGAGAGCTGCCAGCAGTGTTTGCGTTGGAAAGTTGCAGTTCTGACACCGCGCTGTTGGAACGGCACAATGCAAACACACAAAACACCTACTCATGCTTTCACATGGCCTCAGATTTGTTTTATTATTTTTTTTTCTTTCAGGCACAGTGAATGGAGTCACTCGGACAGTGCGTCTGATCTCAGCATGGTGACTGGTGATTACACAGATAAAAGGGCAAGGCACATCCAAAGCGGCGCTACCAGAGGGAGGAAATAACATCCAGTGTTGTTTCGCAGCAACATCAGCTGTGATGGATGGCGACAAGGGTGTTAAATTCCAACACGGAGGTCAGGGTTATCATAGATTTGGAGAAAAAAAAAAAAAAAAAGAACCAGTCCTTGTGCGGTTGGTTTGATATGCTGGACCTAATATAAAGGAAAGATAACGTTTTTCTCATGATTACCAAAGGATGCGACTTTGCTAGTAAAACTTGGACACACAACATGACTTTGTAAAGACTAGTTACTCAGCAACAAACTAGGTTTTGTTTCACAACTGTAAGACTGCAATTTCTTATGGAAACGTTCACTAACGCAGAGTGCTGCAGAGTAACGTTGTTTTGCATTTATAACACGCTGTGCAACCCAAAATGTGTATAAAAACAGCTTTTTAAGGGAAAACTAAAATACTGCTCACAGCTTCAGCGTTAGAGAAATCTCATTGTTAAAAAAAAAAATAGTTAGTAGAAGGTTACAGAATAATTTGAATAATTTTCAAAGCTGAAAATAGACTTTCAGGCTTTAGTTTTCCATCAAGGTGAAGCAAAAATACATAACAGTTCCAAATGCCATCAAAATAGCTTCAGGTTTCATTTCTTTTAAAGGATGAAAACAACCCAAAGAATGCATCCAAAAACAACAGAAAACATAAAGGCAAATATCTGTAACAGACTGAAAATCTGTGTTATGATCCGACGACTGCCACACACACGAGGTGTGTGAAATACATCTCTGAAAGCGTAGCACGATAAAACTAAAGTGAGACAAGCTACATGATCAGAACAGCACACAGCTAACCACTTTTGTTAGCTAAAAACAGAACATTGAGGTTACTTTTTTTTTTTTTTACAGGATTAACTAAACTGGAAAATAAACCCATTAGTGACATTTTAAGTATTGCTCCATTAATTCAGAAGGGATTTATTGTTATTATTATTCACTACACCCCTCAGTGACGTTGGCCTTTCATATTGTGCTCAGAAATCTCCTGTTTTGTTTTGTATTTAGTTTTTCTTTTCGGCTTTTACCTTCAGGAAGAAGTTTCCTGTTGCAATCACGGGAATCGGCAGCGAGGCTCCTTTCTCCCAGTGATTGACTTACATTGTTGTTTGGCCCCGGGAACAGCAGCATCTGCAAAGCTGAAATAATCAATGTTTAAAACAGGGCGCTCGCAAGTTGCTTGTATCAGCAAACTAATGCCGCAACGCCTTTCTAATCAGATCGTTTGCATTCGACGCCCCGGATAATTCCCGTGCTCTGATTACAGCTGCGTTTGTCGCGGTGATTTCTGGATCTTCTTCTTTAAACTGTTTACCCAAAGCAAACCCCGTGGGCCTGTTTTTTTTTTTTTTGTGAAGCACATGTTCCATTATCTTTATTGAAGGGCAGTCATCCCTCTCTTGAGGCTCCTCGAGTGCGTGGAGCCAAGTCTGGTGTACAATTACGATCCTCCCAACGAACGCTAACTCGCGGTGATGGAAACTGCTGACAAGAGCGCTGAAGGAAAGGGACAAATGCGACCGGCGTGGCGGAAAGCTCGTTGCATAGGTTGGTCGTCAATGACAGATAAGTCCTTTTAATTAACCTCGACACACAGCTGTATACGTCCGCTGATAAGGTGGAGGAACTCTGATAACGGCTGATGACTTTCAGAAAAAGAGCCACTAATCTGAAAAAAAGAGTGTCTGGTGAAAGTTATATCAGTGAGGGTGTTGTCACTTTTTTTTAATTTCATCAAAGAAATGACTTCATGAGGCACTGTATCTTTGAAAATTAAAAAAAAAAAAGGATTTCTCGCAATAAATGATATCTCAGTAAAAATCTACCGTCTGTTTTTCTATTTAACTCAGTTATAGCATATCCACTTATTTAACTCGAGATCACATGGATTCTCTGAAAATGTCATAAGATAACAAAATATTAGGTTAAAAATCATGGAGCCAGTAGAAAAATCACTAGTTCCCAATCATAACTGCACAGCAAATGGTCAAAAGTTTTACAAAATATTCACATTCTCCTCTTCTGGATTACTGCATAGACAAAGCGACCATTGTGAACGACGCTAATACAATCAAGAATGGTCACGCTGGGAAATAATGACCTTTGCTTTATGAGCTACCTTACGCCAAACCTAAAAATATTAAAACGGTGAGGTACCCATTTGGCATTTCCAGTGAGGAAGGGTAGAGCAGCGGCACAGGAATGACACGGTTAGAAAACGCTAAAACTATTATCATATTGAGAACTTTATTCTCACTATCAGGCATGGTGGTGGCCTCGTTATGCAACTTTGCTATTATGCAAAGACGAATTAGTCATTTCAGTGTCTTGACGTGCAAATAATGAGTTTGCAGAAGAAGAATCCCTAAGGTAGAGTGGGAAAAAATATTTGAAAAGGAAATTTCATGATTATTCTTTTTTTTTTTTCATGACAAGTGGAGTCGGTGCCAACACAACAGTGGGGTTAATCTTTCATAATAACACCGGAAAACTCAAGAGTTTGTTTGAAATAAAAATAAGGCAACAGAGGGCCAGCGGAAAAAAAATAAATAAAAAAATGCAGGTTAATCGCAGGCTTTTCAATGGGGCGTCTTGGCAACCAAAGTTTTTCCTTATCCAAACATTACACGGATAAGGAATTTGCAACCAAGCTCTTTAGAAATCCCTCGGAAAGACACGGATAAACGGATTTGTTGGTGCTGGCACGAGGTGTCAACCTGAAGCGCGGCGCGTTCCATCTTCCACGTCGTAATCTTATAAAACACGGCTGGACAGAAGGGGCCGTTACAGCCGGGCTAATTCAAAATCAATGCGCCGGTCGATTGCAAACACAAACCCCTGGCTCCTGTAACAACGGCGGCGTTATGTTTCCCACATGGAGCGGCGTGGGGAGGAGGCCTTGACCAAGAGCAGCGCAAACCTCCTGATGCGGCACTTCGCCCGCCTCCTCCCTCGCTCGCACGACGGGAACATGCTTATCGCTGCACCTTGGGTGGTGAAGCAGCTGCCAAAATAGCCGCCACTCAAGTTGTGAAAAGACGACGTGATTGAAATGACAGGAGAAGAACAGCCTTTTAGAGAGAGCGCGGGAAGCATTAACCTGGCTTTAAGTGTTCCGCAAAGGGCCCTGTAGCCCCCATGCCAGCCCCCACACAGCTGAGTTCCTGTGATGTTTATTGCTCTGAAAGGACAACATCGCGGCATTCGCTCCCGTTAAGCGCATGCAGACAACATAATGAAACAGAAATGAGTGATAAAACCTCCCCATAAGCCCTTGCTTTAACTTTGATGACATCCATTTACAGTTTCGCCTCAATGACACTACATAGCGTCAAGTAAAGAAAAAAAAAAAAAAAGTCTTGCCATTAATATTTATGGAAGCTGCTTCCTGCCGGGCAAGGATTATTGTCCTCATTTAAATCCTACTTATGTCAGCCCTCTAAGACACAACCCCAACACACATGGGTATAAAAGTCGATTGCCGGAGTTCTATAATTTTGTTTTATTAATTTATTCCAGCATGAAGAAACAAAGAAGATCCCCTTGGGGGAGTTTCGTTTGTTCCTGCATCAAGCTTGGATGGACTCGCTGGGTGACACGAGCAGCATCACAACCGAACTTCCTTGAAAACAGCACTGGGTGAACAATGCGTATGTAGGGGGAGATAAAACTCTCTCTGCCTTTGGATATCCAGGCAGAACAGAGGCAGCCCTTTATTTAAATTCACCCACTGAAACGACCGAGAGACTTCTGGCATTGCAAAAAGATTAAAAAACAAAACAAAACGTGTGAGCAGGCCTGTTAGTCACGTTCGTCCATGCGCTGGCCTTTGTGAAATAAGTTGGGCTTCCATCTCAGTGGGGATCTCTAAAGCTTCAAGCTGTGTTTGATTGTTCATGCTAGTAGCTTTGCTTCAGGAACCTTGATGTCCGTCCAGTCGATTCATAATTTCTTCCAGTGTGAAACAGCTCCTCAGCCTTTATGCTAGATCAATGTGCACAGCCTTTCAAAACTTCAAGGGTTTTGTGATGTAGAGATGATGAGACTATGATTTAAAAAAGGGGTGGAAATTAAAAAAAAAAAAAGACATAGAAATCTAATTGCCGGAGTGTCCACAACCTTAGAATTGAGGTTTCTTGAGCACACACCAAACATCAATAGTGGTGAATCTGACGGATGTTGAAATGTTCAGTCTTGCCACTGAATTTTCATGATTACTCAGTTGCATCCTTTGCAAGCAAAGTGGTTGCAAAAGCATTTAATTGTCAAGAAGTAATTTTAGGACCTATAGGACATTAACAACACAATATCGTAACAAACAAAGATGGTGGTGAACATGAGAAAGCAATCATACATCCACCGGGTTAAGGAACAAGTTTGCCAGACGAAAAACTTTTCTTCCAGAGAAAACTTGACAGAAATCTGCTTGATCTTTGTGGGGTCATGATTTATAGTCTGATTAAACCAGTGCGAAACTTTGGGTCATTATTCCACAAGGTCTGCTTTGACCCAATAAAAGAAAACACAAAAGAAGACCAATGCTAAAAATGAGCTTTGGGTATTTGATCAGTCAGTTTTGCTTCCCTCAACACCTTTGGGTGTCTGAAGCTAAAGATATCACTGCGAGTCCAAGTACATGTCAAAATCAACAAGAGGATTGCTTCAGCAGATAATTAAAGCCTTGGAAAGGGCCAGGTGGAGTTCAGAACCAAATCTGACAATAAATTGGAGTCATTTTAAGAATACTATTGACAACAGCTGTCCTTACAAACAGACAGATGCTAAATATTTGGGGAAACGTCCAAGCTACAGACTCCTAGAGACAAATTCCTGTTTGTGAATCTAAAGGTTCTGAAACTAAGAACATGTTGAAGGGTTCTCACACGTTGACAAACACTTTAAAGGTTTTGTAATGGCTCATTCTTTTTTAAGTTGTAAAAGCTCGGTATTTTAACAGCGGCGGGCAAATGCTTGAGGTCTACACAAAAGGAGGACGCCATGTTCACGAGTTGGATCAGCAGTCGTGGCCTCTATGAATCAATCGTTTTAAGCCTTTTATAAGGTTCAAAAACAGGACAAATGAGTCCAAATTCACTTATTGTACCAGATTAAAATCAAATGATGATGTGTTTGGGAAGTGACTCACTTTAATATCCAGCCTCAAAGAGCCCTCGCAGGCTACTCAGTTATGCAGCCTGTCACTGCCAGGCAAACACACACAGTTATGGCTGGCTTGTCTCCGCGTCTGGAGGAAGGGAAGAAAGGCAGCGCCGCAGCACTGGTGACCATCTTCCAGGAGACTGGATCTGTGTCATTTTCTCTGGGACGTTTTTTTTAAAGGCAGAATTCATTATTCATCTAACTTTTGGATTTACATTTTTCCTTGGTTTGGGGGTAAAGCATCTAAATTATTTACCTAAGATGCTCTTGTATTTCTGTGACTCAATTGAAAAAGTAATCAATTTAATTTTTAATCCGATTAAAAAAAGTACCAATCAGCCATTTTGGAACACCAACAATGAGCATAACCATAGCAACCCAGCAAAAATATCACAGAGAGGAAGTGTGGAAAGCAGCCATTAAGGGACGATAGAAAATTTGAGCAGACGAGCGTGGTGCAGTGCTGAATTACATAAAACCTCACCATTTTCTACTTTATCCAAATAGATTATCTCTGTCTTGATTGGTCCTCTGTTTACACATCCCACTTTGTGATGATTGCCCCATAACTGATGAAATCTCTCATTTCCGTCTTTGATTGTGTCCAAAAAAAAAAAAAAAAAAACAAAAAAAAAGAGCTGGCACTGCTCGAGCGGCAGTGTCTGGTAAGAATGTTCTCAGGAGTCGCACGCAGGATGTAATCTGACATACTGGATGTACAATAATAGTATACACAATAGTATTTCCATATGTTTACTTCCATTTATCTTTAATTCATTGATACTTCTTTGGCAGCAACAATTGTTGCCTTGTCCTTCTTTGTGAAGTAATCTTGCACCACCGTATTAGGTAGGCCATAATATGGTGCTTCAAGAGATATAAACTGTTTCCAACACATTTAAAAAAAAAAAAATAAATTACTACAAGTTTTACTTTTCAACTGAAATACTGAAAACATGGTACAGATTTAAAGATGTTG